TTTCCTTAACCTACGCTTCACCTCCCCGTAGAGGAGTCACGCAACTTAATTTTGTTATATAGAATAACTTTTCGATTTGCTTCTAGAAGATATCGATCGGTTTACAATTTGCTTTTGTTGGCAATAGCCGATTCGCGATTTCTTTTCGTATCCATTTTATTATTCCATAATTCGCACCAACGATCGAATATCGCGCTATTTTCACTCGTATTAATCGAGATCTACCTGTGCATCTCCAAAACAGAGGTCCAACGACGATTACACGTATCACACGCCCAGAAGAAAAAGAAAAGAACGTTGACTTTGATACCACACCCCCTACCAAGGTCACAGAAATCGGAAAACCGTGTTATATTGCTAAGAATTAGCATCGTTTCCGCTGTATCAGAGGAATTTACGAAAATATGCTTGATCGAAATTGCACGTTACTATAACTATGATAACGTGCACGGTGAGGTCGTAATTTATCAGTTAACTCGGTTGTATTTGTAAAACGGGGAGGTAGAATAGCTGGCCGGTACAATGTCTTCGAATATCGCATGATCATCCTTCGAGGAGCGTGTAAATTTCTTTTGTGGTTATCGCTGTCGTCACGTGTCTTTATTCAACGCGAAGATGCTGGCCAATCAATCACTAGGAAGTTAAATGCGATTCGCCAACGATATTCGAGTTTCTCTTATTTGTTTCGCTTTTCTCCGCGCTGCTAATTACCCAGAGGTGGAGGATGACTCGCGTTTCATCCTATCTCGCCGCACATACGGGTCAATATAACGGTGGTAACTTCCATAAATGATGCAGCTACCCGAATATGCTTCTTAACGTCTCTTTTAGAGTACCTCGCGCGTGAAGCTATACAGGGTGGCAAGGAAAAAGGAATAACGATCTTGGGAAACTCGCAGTGTTTGTCAGGACGAGTAAAAGATTGTACTAAATACGATTAATTGTACTATTGGGTTGGCAAGAAAGTAATTTCGGTTTGCATCGGTAAATAATGTTATGCTTGTTTAGTTATTCTTTTGTCAATGTTAGAATTTTTTTCTTTTCAGATGTGGTAGTCGTTACCTTTAGGTTGCTATTTCGTGAAATTCCGTGTAATTTCGTTTACAACTGTCAGTTCACGGTCAGTCTTAACATGGAGTGCAAAAATAAGCATTTTCGACACATTTTACTTTTTTATTTTCATAAAGGCAAGAATGCGGCTGAGGCTCGCAAAGAGATACGAGAAGTTTATGGTGTCGATTGTTTAACAGAACGCACGTGTCAGAATTAGTTTAAAAAATTTCGTTCTGAAGATTTTTCACTGAAAGATACCCACAACGTTCTGGTCGACCTTCTGAGATTTACGCACTTGGTTAAGTTTTCTGCAGATAAGGACCAGAAATTCTATGAGCGCGGGATCATGAAGTTACCAGAAAGATGGCAAAAGGTCATCGAATAGAATGAAAGATATTTGACCGATTAAAGTTCATTTACTGTATAGAAAAAGTTGAGTTTTATTTCACACTAAAAAACCGAAAGTACTTTCTTGCCAACGCAATAAATTGTACTGCAATTGTACTAGATACAAGTAATTGTAATAAATACTTAGTTTTTACGATACTAGGTCTTACGATTAACTCTTTGTTAAGCGACAAACGTAATTTTTTTAATTTTTTATTTCAGTCAACATACGCTACTATCAATACTGTCAATCTCCCGTGACTGTCACGGTCCGAACGGAAAGTTGAATGCCAGTCACCGATGATTGACATGGCGCCTAACGTGTTAATAGAGTAACAAAAGTGTCAGATAATGAGATGATGGGTAATAGAACAATCACTTTCCTCATATTAAATTTAATTTCTTCACTTATGAAGGAAGTTTGTCGCATGAACGGACGAATGAACAAAGCATAGTCTGTGTTATTTGTTTCCTTTGTTTATTTATTAATTGTTCACCATACGTTGTGGATAGAAGATAAAAATGATAATTACAACGTTAATCAATTAATAACGAATCCTCTATATTCTTTTAATACAACTAGTATCATTAGCAATATAAAAATTAAAAATTTTGTTTATCAATGAACGGTGAATTTTTAAATTTTGGTTTCCCTTCGATCTTTCATTTAATTCTGCAGTATTCTTACGTAAAAAGCATGCATCAGGAAATTGATGGGTCTTTATCTCTTTGTCGAACAATCTATTGGAATAGGATATCGTCTACGTTTTACTTATTGGATTCATTAATTCCACCTTTTTCCACTGGTACCGAAAGCCTGAGAATCTGCATCTTCGAGTGTCCATGACTGTCTATTTCTCGATGCCAAGAATTCTTGCCAATTTTCCTGAACTTTCTCCACTTTCGCGCTCTCTAATTATTTTATTTTTTCTTCCAGTATTTACAATTAGAACTGCACCTTTTTATCTAATTGCTATCGCGACAACGTACACTGCTAATTTAATTCTTATGAAATTTTTATTAAATTAGAATTTGTTTAAAATAATACAGGGAAGTACATGCGAATTGTATCTAAATATTGCTATGACATACCGTTTGGATAAAAGAACGTTTAGATGATAGAATGTTCAGATATTGGGGTATTTTGATAATGGGAATTCTTCTATAATAATTTATAATTTATAATAATAATAATAATCAATATATAATCTATAATAATATAATAATCTATAATCTATAATAATAAAATTGATTTTATGTGAAAAGAATAATTGTAACCTAAATAAATGTGTATTTATTAGATATTCTTCTTCCTTCTTAGTGAGTACTATACACTTACTGAGAGAAATTAAAAACAAAGCAATAATCTGCGAATTTTTGTATATCTAAATATTTCTATAAAATATTGTTTGGATAAAAGAACGTTTAGATAATAGAATGTTTAGATATTAGGCTATTTGGATAATGAGAATTCTTCTATAATAATAAAATTGATTTTATGTGAAAAGGATAATTGTGACCTAAATTAATGTGTATTTATTAGATATTTTTTTTCATTTTTAGTGAGTATTATACACTTACTGAGTGAAATTAAAAATAATTAAATTAGATATTAGGGTTAGAAGAGAAATCTAGATATTAGATATTAGGGTATTTTGATAATGAGGATTCTTCTATAATAATAAAATTGATTTTATCTGAAAAGGATAATTGTGACCTAAATTAATGTGTATTTATTAGTATTCCTTTTCTTTCTTAGTGAGTACTATACACTTACTAAAAGAAATTAAAAATAAAGCAGTAATCTGCGAATTTGTGTATATTCCTTATCTTCTGAGATGCATAGATAAAAATTAAAAATAGACTTTCTACAAAATATTCGAAGTTACAAAAATTCGATGTTATGAAAATATCATATTTTTGTTTGATTTTTAATACTAGAGCTACGTGTATAACTATAAAAACTATAGTATGTGTCTAATTCTGATATGCATAAACAATGATACTTCATATAATATAATAAAAATTAATAAGCACAGATGATCATGCTCCTATCTTAACCCTTTGCACTCAAGAGGCGCCTCTCAGTCTCCATTTAATCAGATTCTAAATATCGATGTTAATTAATATATCAAATTTAACCCTTTGCACTCGACGATTTTTTGGTTAGAGAAGAGTAGAAATTCAAAGATTCTGTATTAAAAAACTGACGATACTTTTTTCAGCAGTAAATAAAGAATTTTATAATAATAGAATTGTAGAATTATTTGATTTCGATACCTTACACACCGACACATTACATTAAATTTGATATATTAATTAATATCGATCTTCCAAATTTTATGAAATGGTGACTGAGGCTCACCTCTCGAGTGCAAAGGGTTAAAATTACTCAACAATTCGTGGAATATTGAAATAAAATTAAATTGTTAATTTTAATTTGCGTACCACTTCTTATTTACCGTTTTAAAAATATCCTCGACTTTACGACAGAAAGTCCTCGAATTACTATTTTTCTGTAACGAAAAACTCGCCGAGTGCATAGGGTTAATAAAATTCAACGTTAATTACGTTTAAAGCATCAAAATATTTTTACTAATGTCAAAAACAGAAAATCATGACCCATTATTAATTATTTTGATAAATTTGTGTTAATTTTAATATTAATTTTAATATGTGTATGTATTCCAGAAGATAAAGATAAAGAATTTATAAAAATTCGCAAATCTTTGTTCCTTAATTTTTGAAACGAGTATAAATTTTTAGTCATTGACCTTTCGTTTTCACCACCTTATATGCAACTCATGCATCATCACACAGGATAATTAACCCTTTGCATCTGAAAAGTGAGTTGCCTAAAATAAGATGATATAACCAATAAAACGATTGGAACCAATTATTTTAGTCGAATGATATTTGACCTAAAATCTAATTAGAATCTTTGACAAATTGTGTGCTTACGTTGTTTTGTTCTGTACAATTGCCACTAATCTGCACTTAGAGGAGACATTCAAGCGGTTTGCTAGATTTACGATGTCTCCTGGGAGAAAATAAGCAAGTGCAAGGGGTTAAGTACATCGTGCATACATTCGTTGGATAATTCATCAGATCTGGCTTTTTCTTTTTGTTTCAGGCCGTGAGTAACAATTTAGAGCCGGAGAATCGGTGAGTAGATTCGCACGATTATTTCTCATTCGATTAGTTTGTGTTTATCGTTCTCTCAGTTTATTTTAACGTTTTTACGTTTCTTACGTATTAGACACTTTAGATTATTTGATAAGCTTCTGCATTTTGTGAACAAATATTAATTAACTTCATCAGTTTATTCCTCGACTTGAAGATTTAAAGTTGTCAAATTTTAAGGCTTTTATCTATGACAGTGCATGTATTCATTGGTATATTCAACAAATATTTTCAATCTGTTATTCAAGGGTTCTGTTTATCTTTGTAATAAGGACTTTAAACAAAATTTGTAAATTCTTAGTAAAAATTGTTTTAAGAATTCTTACAAATGCATATAGTTTATTAACATTTTTAGTTATTTTCGTATCAAAATTATAATTTTTATACAAGTTATAAAAATTCAATATTAATTGTAATAAGTGATAGAGAAAATGATATTTCTGAATTTTTTAATTTTTACTTTCCTTTTCGTGCTCTGAGTAACAGTGTTTCTCAACTTGTGTGTCATGATTCAATATGAAATCATACAATCTTGAATGGATTGTGAAATAAAAATAATAGGTCTTATATTTTGTACATAATTCAATTTCTAAACACTACTTATAGTAAAATGATATTAAAATAATTTTTACAGATGTTGCACTTTCAATTATATAATTCATAAATTTAACAAATGTATCTTAATTAATTCTACATTCAATATTATATTCATAATTTTTTGAATTGTTAATTTCATTTTCTAATTGTTCGATAAACTTTAAATATTATTACATATATTTACATATTACATATTACATATTTACATTTTACTATATTATTCTTTCTGGCTTACGAAGATTTCGCACTGTCACATTTTCTTGTTACATGTAAAAATATACGAGTACATATATACATACATGGTATTATTATCTCATTTTTAAACCTAACTGTTTAAGAAATTTGAAGATAAAAACTTAATAAACTAACATTCTATACTATAAATAATTATCTTAAATTTATAAACTATATCTGAAAAGGCACAAAACAAAATTACACTTCATTTTCTTTGGTTTCTATCACCTTTCTTTTCTTTCTCTCATTTCCTAATACACATTTTCAACCACTACTCTCTTCCTCAAAATGTCCTTAATACATTTATTATTTAGTTATTTCTCGTACATCGACATATTCGAGAAATTATCGAGAAAAAATTCCCGCAAAAATTCTGATCGTTAATAAAAATTGTACAATTTTCATATACATATATACACGTATTTATGAGAGCAAAGTTGGATAAAATCGAGTTCGTACAGTCCCCTTCCCACCATACTTCGCTCACGATATAAATCTGTCGAAACACGCGAGGTGTGCCTTAATGGCTTTTAAATCGATTAGTGTTCCAATAAATTTCGGTTTTTTAACAACATCAAAGTCCGAGCCAGGCTAGTTGTTTATTTATGAGAAACACTTGTCCGAGACAAGGGGGGCCCGTGCTATCGTCCCAAGGGAGCACCTGGTACGAGCCTTTGGAGAATTTGATATATCGAAAGGGATGGTGGAACTATTTGGGCCGACACCCCCGCTTAATTCCGGCCCTTTTCCTCGGGACCCCAGATTCTTTGTTCCCCTAATATATCACCGCGTCCACCAGATCGCGCCCTTGAGAAAGAGCCTCTCGTAACAGAGGGCGTCGCGACAGGCCGATTGTTTTGTGTTCTCTCTGTCTCACTCTGTCTCTCTCTCTCTCCCGTCTGCCCGAATGAAGTCGTCTCCCTACGACGCGAGCAGTGTATTCTCCACGACTGCAGGACCAATAGAAGTTCAAGGTTTAATACTCACGCGATGCTTTTCTTTTGCGATATTGTTGCAGATTTACAACGACAGTACTGTTACAAGCGTTTCCGCAAGTCAAGTATATCATCGATTTGACAAACACAGATCGCTACTACGATGAGAAGGTAAGGGAAATGTATTTGTAGGATTAAGATTTCGCCCGTTTTGCGCTGGTTAAAGGCATTTCCATGTGTGTCTGTCTTAAGTAAATCGAGAAACGTTGTTTCATGTCACGTTTGGGGCAAATAGGAAAATTAAAAATATTTGTATTATCAAGAAATGTTCGTCGTCCTACGTGAATGAAAATCGTAATCAAATTATTTATAGAATTATTTTATGAAAATTAGTGGACGAAGATTTTATATGTTTATCTTGTATTTTTGTCATAGATTATATTGTAGACTCATCCAGTTATATAATGGGAATAATTATAGACTTAACGAAAAGGATAGTAGAAATATTTATGGGCCGATATTTGGACCGAAATATTTTTAGAAATATTTATGAATATTAAGAAATTATATATTATATTGTAAATAACATAACTAATAGTTGTATGTGATAAATATTAACTAAAACATTGCGTTTTGGGAATTTTTTATTTGGTCAATTAGTAATTGTTTTGTAATAGAAAGTTTTTTGAAATCAAAAGTTTAATTTTGAAAGTAAAAGGATTACAAAATCGATGTATTTATTATGAATACATAACGTTTACAATACATGAATGTCTGCATAGTGGCGCTAGTGTAATATAAAAGGTTAAATTTCTAATTACTGATGTTCATTTTGTAATAGAAAGTTTTTTGAAATCAAAAGTTTAATTTTGAAAGTAGAAGGTTTACAAAGTCTATGTATTTATTAATTATCTATTTTCTCAACTTTATTAGTAGAAATGGAATGAAATAATGAATTACAGATTATGAATATCTGCATAATGGCGCTAGTGTAATATAAAAGGTTAAGTTTCTAACTACTGATGTTCATTTTACTCGTTTCATGTTAATAATTTTATAATGTCGGTTATATATTTAATTTTAATATTAATAACATTAATAGTATCAATATTTAAATTTAATATGGATATTGAATGTTAATAATTTTAAGGAAATATCCTTTCTCATCAGTAACGACTGTTTGTATAATTTTAACAAATTCGAAGGTACTAATATACCAATAGTAAAATAATTTTCTGTGTATCTAGAACTTAAGGTTTCGTTTTTTAAGACTTTATTATTATTTCTTTAGTTTACTATAATTACCTAAAACCCAGAATTTTGTTAAGATTATTTACCATATTATTTACTATTATTATTGAAAATCCACAATTTGATTTATTTGGATGACACATTCACGTTCAAGCACAGAAAAGAATTTTAAAAACCAACTCCATATTTCATTGACCAGTAATAATACACCAGATACACTAGAATTATCACTATATATAATACACTAGAGATTTTCTTTCAACAACAACATCTACAAGAATGCCACGTCACTCATATTGATTCGTGCATTTTTACCGTTTAGTAATCGAAACCGAGAGACCTTTTTCTTCCTCTTCGCAAGCCGTCCCTAGCTGCATTCTTTGATCGAGCAGATATTGCAGAGCGTGGCTCCTTTACACGGCCTCTGCTTATCTTTGTTTATCTGTCGTCTCTCTCTCTCCCTCTGCCTCGTTCGTTCGCACGCCTGCGCGTCCCTTTTTTGCTTCGCTCCCTTGTTCCTTTCACGAGAGCCTAATATTACGTCTGTGTCAGTTCGGACTTTATTTGGTATTTAAAATTAGTCGAGTGCGCCCAACTAATTTGTAAGGAGGACCAAAAGGGACGACGAGGGCTAATGAACTTATTATTAGATTTTTGGAATAGCTGACTGCCGGCGACTCGATCGCTGAACTTCCACGTCTGCCCGCCAGAGGCGCGCACGTAGTGCGAGTGTATGTATGCGTTTTCTAGGTCAGTCCTGTCACAACCTGAGACCGATCAATTATATTAATAAGTTCTAGAGTCGAGACTGTACTCGGTCGTTTCGTGTCTTTTTTTTTTTTTTTCCTTTTTCTTCTTTTCGTCGTTCACGGACAATCGTTTGCGATGCGAGGAGGAGGAGGACTGTGCTAGAAAATATTTTAGAAATGCTACGACGCTTTTGAGCATCAATAGTGCCGCACGGTATCGGTAATTAACACGGGGATCCTCTGGTGTCTCACGCGTCTAATTAGAGCGCATTATACGTAATAGTATCCCCTTAGTGGAACCCTTAATTTTTGACCTGTGAATGGTGTCGTTGGGAAGGGAAAGGTTCATTCACTAGAGGGATCAAATAGGGACTAGGGGTGATTATTCCTAAAGATTTTATCAACTTCTTAATATCTGAGGAATTTTTTTTCCCTTTTTGGAGATACTGGAATTTACGAGTCAATTTACGGATGTTTTTGATTTATGACTCGTTTTTGTATTTTGTATATCTAGTAAGTTTCTTTAGTATTAAAATGTACAGTTTGTTATATATTTTATACAATATTATTGTTATTAATTTATTATAAATACAGATATAATAATAATAATGATATATTTCCTAAAATATTAAGCACCATAGTTATTTTGTTATTAGATATGGAAATTGGATATTATAAATATTAGATTTATAAT